ATGAAACACTGTCACAGAAGTAGGCTGTGTGTGTGCTTTGTCATCCATGTACTTTCTGCTGCTTACAACTCATCAGAGGAGGCTGTTAAACAATTTACCTCACAATTTTGGCTTTTTCTGGTGGGCTGCCACAATTGATCGGTTTGCATAGAACTCGGAGATTGTTTCACACACTTTTTTTCCCCTCTTTTCCTTTTTTTTTTTCCTGATAGATTTTCAGAAACCTTTTTTGCTTTTCAAAGGGAAATTCTTTTGTTTTTCTTTTACAAGTTGAAGGCTGTTCAACATTCTGACCGCAGCTGTGCCTTTTGTTACTTGAGTATGACACTTTTCATTGTTCTGCCTGCAAATTCAAGTTTACTCATAAACTGAGCAGGAAATGGAACTAACTTGAACTGCTTCTTTTCCCCATTCCTCACAATGAACTAATGTTAAACGATACCAGCTTTCTGGCCATCTGACCATGTGCCATTTCTTTTTCATTTCCCATTGTAAAGTTTTGATATATAGGGGACTTTAAGTAACTAATATTTTCAAATGGAAAATAAAGTATTTTTTTTTCTTCCTACTGGGCAACAGACCTGAAAAAACTAAATAATGCTCTGAGTACGTCAGCAGAGTCTGATGGGAATAGTGAAGAGTGCATGGCAACTGGAAAAGAGCTTCTAAATTGGTTTAGCTGTCCTGCCAATAAAAGCATTTTATTGCCACAAAAATAAAATTCATGAAAAGAATATAGATTTATCTCCTAGTACATATATGAAATTGGAAGTACCTTCTTTTTAAAAACAAAAAAACAAAAAAACTTGGTCTCAGCATCTATACAATAAAAGTCAACACACACTCCCCATAATTGTTATTAGATTACAGTGTGGGACAAATGGTACAAATGAGAAGCCAGCAAGGAAAAAATATTTGGCTTTCCCCCTTAAAAAGCCAATAGAAGGTTGTATAGAAAAATCAGAAGCAAGGGTTTCAGATCTCTGTTTAGGTATTACCTTCACTTGTTCACTTCAACACTGGAGAAGCAGTGAGGCACTGATGACCTACCTGAAGAGATGATCTCTAGGCTAAGAGCACAACATCTACAGCAGGGAGCCTTTGTATACATGCAAAACTTGCATATGAATTACAAGACTTTAGAATCAAGGTTCCAGCTGTTGTGGAAACAATTGCATGCATTGCTATAGACAACTGGATATGTTTCTGGGGCTCCATCCAAGAATTTGGCTATATATATATATATATATATATATAGTTTGTCTTAAAAGTGGCTATAGTAGGTAAATAGCACATAGTCAATTTGGGCAGTTCTTGAAAAGTTAATCAAAATCTTATCTAGTTAAGCATTTGGATGAGAGAACATATATACTTGTCCAGGAAGCTTAAAAACATCTATAGTGTTGAGAAAACTACATGGAATGTCTATGTCCATTAAAAACTAAGTTTGATTCCGGAGATACTTTGCTTTTTAACAGATTCCAAAAAGAAAACTAATCAATGTTTATCTGCACTCAGTCATACATGCCCTTATCATCTCACAATTGGACTACTGTGATGTGTTCTATATGGGGCTACCCTTGAAGAGTATTCAGAAGCTAGTGCAGAATGTAGCCATGCAAATTGTTCTAGGGTCTCCTAGGATGGCTCATGTAACAAAGTTCTGTGTGACATGGGACCAAGCTACCTGAGGAACCATTTCATTCCAATGGGATTGTTCCACCCCTCTCATTCCAGTAGAAAGGAATGCTTTATACTCCATCGGTCAAGACATTCTGGCTGTTGTGGTCCAGGGGAAGGACCTTTTCTGCCATGGCTCCTGCCCTCTGGAACACAGAGATGTACATCCACTTTTCTGACTTACCAAAACCTGGCTCTGCTGATTGGCCTGACACTTTGATGGGAACATTTCATGTTAGAAATAATTAATGTATTAGGAAGAAGAGCCCACCTTCACCCCATTTTATTCTTGCTCCTTTTGCTTTTATGATGTTGTAAACTGTGCAGAATCACCTGACAGTATGGTAAAAATTTAATAAATAAATAAATAAATATATTCTTGTTGGAAAATAAAAGTTGTTGATCAAAATCCTTATGCAACTACTTTGGTCTTCTTTCCAAATTTGAGAGTTTGTTAGCAAGAGACATGTAATATAAAATAGAGCAAGCCATATATAAAGGAGCATGTAATACATATTGGCATTAATGGGGATCATTTAAATCTTCTGTATGTTTTTGTGAAACTCATTCAACTGTCTTATAATTGCATTTTAGCATACAGTGTTTCAGATATACGTATCACTGTAAAAGAAAAGATAGAGAAGCCCAGTTCCAAAGGATCAAATTAGACCCCAAACAGCTCTGACAGAAGTTTTCTTAATGTGGACAGTCATATCAGTGAGCGTATCAGAGATCGATAATAATGAAGCCTTGATAGCGTAGAGCCTAAATTCTCCTCTCCCATGTCAGACCCTCAAATGTCCCATGGCATTATAAGGGCAAATGATATCTCAATTCTGACCCAGAGGTGAATCCAACTGGAGACAATAAAAATACCTTTATGCATCCAATGCAATGGTAGCCATGTAGGTAGCAGAATTCATTGGACTGAGTAGAATTCTTCATCCTCTGGGTGCTTCCAAAATGTTACCCAAAATAATACTCTAGTAAGTACCTAACAAAACCTTCATATATTACACAATGTACTTGCTAGCATAATTAGTAATATTTTGAATAAACTATGTCTGTGCATAAGATGTCTTCCAAGATAGCTACATAATAGCATTAAACAAAAAATGGAGTGATACGATCTTTCTGATAATTTTATGTTTTATATGCACTTTAATAGCTATTTGTCTTTCCTAGACAGCTACCAACAATGTCTCAAAGTTTGGGGGTTTATTTTTTATTTGTATACCACTTTTATTATTTTTACATATAACTCAAAGTGGTGAACATAACCAACACACTTTCCTCTTATTTTCCCCACAATAACTCTGTGAGATTAGTTGGCCTGAGACAGAGTGATTGGCTCAAGGTCACCCAAATGGCTTTGGGTGAGATGGCTCTAAGATGGGACTTGAACTCAGATTCTCTTGCTTTCTAGCCTGGTGCCTTAACCACTAGATCAAACTGGCTGTCTTCTCAAAGCTCAGTATGTTTTTTACAAAGAAATTATTTGTATTTTTTTCAAATAACCTTTTATCCAGAACTATTTATGAATTCAGAAAAAAAGCAATATGGTGCAAATGTTACCCAACCTTCAAAAGCAAAGGGATTCTTTCTTAAACTGTGGTGAATTGAAACTATTTAAATTTCATGATAAAGGATGTTGTGTTGGACTGTTCCAAGACTAGCCAAAATGAATAACAATATGGTTTCTACCTGTCTCTACAGAGAAGCTGACGCATAGCAATTGAACTGTATTTAGATATAGCTTTTTCTGCTGCATTTGAAGAAGATACACTATAAAGAATGTTCTACAATGAAATGGAATGTCCATACGCTCAATAGTAATGGCCAGAGCATAATCTTCCTACCTTTACATATGTTATAAGTGAAGGATGAGAGAAGAGAAAATAATAAATTAAGAGAAACCCCAGTTTATGTTTTACTTTATCTGTAAGTACTGATAAGTTTAAATCTTTTTCCTCCTCAATAATATTTTGCCATGTCAAAACAAAATAAAAGGATGAGGTGAGAGTATTTCTGTATTGTTCTCTGTATCATTATTTTCTTATTTTATTATTCTATAAACTTCAAAAACAGTAAGAGTTTAAGAAATCAAAATTAAGTACTTCTATTGACATAGAAATTTATCCTAAAATATGATTAACATGGTCATTTATAAACAGTATTTCCAATAGAACTGTCAACCAATTAAAGGCTTTTAGTTGATTAATGCCAATGTCTTTAACTGATCAATCAAATAACTAATTTAAATATACACTATGGTGCAGAGTCTTTAATTACTGAAATCAATGGGAAGGTTTCCACTGATATAAACAAAACTGAAGCTATAAACCAGTGAAAGAAACATTTTCACAAAAAAAGTTATGTACATCTAATCAATTAGTTATCAACATTCTTATATTTCATCTGAAGATTAAAACTTCATTGTAATTAATTTTGCAGTCAATTAATGGATTGAATAATTTACCTCGTAGTTTTCTCTTCTTCATTACTGTAATTAAAATGTATGTTTAAAAAGTGCAGTAATATCCATTCAGATGACCTCACTAATACTTAGTAATGAATCCTAAAGTAAGAGCATTGTAGCAGTTGAACCAATTACACAGAAAAGTGATTGGTTCCTTTTACCGAATGTACTGAAGTGAAAATTGGGGTTTATCTGGGATGCTTCAATCTGGACTTCTGCTCAAAGTAGGGAGTTGGATTCAGTTATCCAAAACGGCCCTTCCAACCTTGGAATTCTATGAAATGTTGACTTCCACAGCGAAGTGATATTTTGTGGTCTCTGGCTATATAATTCAGTTCAATATTATTATTTCTTTACATTTATTCACATTTAGAACAGCTGATGAAGACAATCTCCCAACACATCTGGAGGTGACGGGTGACTATATTCCCCATATCTTAAACAAAATTACTTTCTCATGGTACATGTTCATCCACTATATCTAGAGCGCAATAAGAAAAAAAGGAACTCATAGACATGGACGTTACTTGCATATAAAATCTGATTAAATCACTCTACTCAATAGCAATTTTAATTCGATATGGATAAGCACAGGTAACATGAATTGAACTTAGGATATCTTGGTAAGAACAGTTGCAGTAGCCTCCTAGTAATAAACCAGAAAGTGCATATTGTGTGATACCATTTTAAAATCAGACTTTATGCTTGCACACAAGACAGGAATCTATGCTTCAAATGTAGACAGACAGGATTAGCTGCAGTATTATTTAAGATATTCATCCTTAAAGTGATGAAAGAAAACAGTGCTCATCAGTTCAATCCATTGGTTTCAATAACTCACCTTCTGCATCTTCTGGCCTTGTAAGATCAATGACTCCTGGACCTAGCTTTCCATCTTCACTGGGTTTCCCTGATAGTTGTGGGCCTAAATTCTCAAAGCGTGTTCTTTCCTGCCAAAGAAAAAGGATAACATTCAGTTTATAAAAATAAAAGTGTTCACATATGCTTAATTTCCAGTGCTTTCTTGACCTCTGATTACGCATGCATCTTGCCAAATTATAAGTGCAGCTTCCACTTATCGATTCAGTTCAAATAAGTGTAGGGTAGGGAAGTATTACTGTGATTTAGACAGGATTAAAACTGAAATTTCAGAAATCACCACCAAGCAACAGTGAATAATTAACCTTTCCTAAATGACTTGCATTTCAGAAATGCTAAAGTTCAGGACTTGGAGAGGACTTTCTATTAAAACTTGCTACTAATTCAGTGGAAAAAAATAACCAGTAGCACAATCAACATCCTAGTCCTAGAGCTCTGAATTTGCAGAGGCACCCTTGAGAAATGCAAGCATGAATTTTATGCAAGAGGATTTCAAAGACAAGTATTTCAAAAAAGGAATACTAGATGACAGAAATAGTACTATTATTTTGCCTAGGAATTTGAGCTAAACCTCCATGGGATTTTTTTTAAAGGCTATGAAGAAAAAGAGATGACAGTGTTTCTTCCCTGAAAAATATAAAATTTGAGTGCTGAAAACATATATGGTAAAACCGCATCACTAAAAACAATAATCAATATATAGGTTGATGTCAATCAGGGTTTCCTCATACCAAAGGGCAAAAACTCAACACTCATATGGCAACATTATATTTTCTCACTTTTTGTAACTGACTATTATATATTACTTTCATGCAAAAACACAGTAGGGTTTTCTTATGCCTTTGGGATACTTCTCAAACCAGAACATGGCATTATGTTTGAATGTCACATCATCACAGACATGAAATATCAGTTTTTGGTTTTGTTCACAGGATGTATTTGTTAAATCTCACATATTACACAGCAAAACAGTGCTGATTGCTCTTCTCTCTATTGTTTGGTGAGCTAATATTGCATTGGACATATTAGATATTGGAAGGAAAACAGTTATGTTTTCATACACCGAAAAAGACCTAAGCAGCTTGATGTTGCTGTTAAAAAATCAAGAACACACTTAGCTTCCAGAACACTAGAGTTATTTGCTCAACTCTCTTAATAGTGATTCTGTTTATTAATAAGTGCTCTGTAATCAATTTGTAGAGCATTGGTGGATTAGTAAACAAGTATTTTCTTCATCATCATACACACACACACACACTCAAGGCGGCAAACATACCCAATCCTCTTGCTTTCTACTTTTCCCACAAGAACAACAACCCTGTGTGGTTTGTTGGGTTGAGGGGTAGTGACTGGCCCAAGGTCCTCAGTCGGCCCTCGTGTATAAGGTAAGACTAGAACCCACAATCTTCTGGTTTCTAGCCTAGCACCTTAACCACTACACCAAACTGGTGTACTTGTTCATTCTTTCTTTCTCTCTCTCTCTCTCTCTCTCTCTCTCTCTCTCTCTCTCTCCCCTCCCCCAAAGAAAAAAAACAATTAGATATAAGAAGGGTTTTGTTCACATCAAAGTCACAGCAACTAGATACTACAAGCAAAGAAAAACTTCTTAATTGGTCTCATATGTGAATACAAATTTGGGCCATCATGCTAATTCTAAGAGTAGAGAAGGTGGTATGAACAAGGTTGTCCTTCAGATAACCTAGAACTACCTTTACTTCTAGTTTAATATTAACATTTAGTGGAAACCAGTATAATTATAATGAACACAATGCCTGGCCTTCCAGCATCTAACAATATGCTGTATCTATGCCTTAAGATGAACTTCATGAACCATCCTTCTGCTGTCCTACACTGGCCACAACAGCACCTAATCTGTAAATATGCAGCCTCAATGGTAGAACAAGGGCATGAGGCATCATGCAGAGTTCCTCACAGCTCATCCTGAGAAGGGTTACCTGAATCTGTGCCAGGGGTGAAATCCAGCAGGTTCTGGAGAATCGGTAGCAGAAATTTTGAGCAGTTCGGAGAACTGGCAAATACCACCTCTGGCTGGCCCCAGACTGGGGTGGGAATGGAGATTTTGTAATATCCTTCCCCCTGGAGTGGGATGGGAATGGAGATTTTGCAGTATCCTTCCTCTGGAGTGGGGTGGGAATGGAGGTTTTGCAGTATCCTTCTCCTGCCACATCCACCAAACCACGCCCACCAAGCCACACCACGCCTACCAAGCCAGGCTCACAGAACCGGTAGTAAAAAAAATTGGATTTCACCACTGATATGTGTTTGTTCCAAGGAAAGCAGATGCTGGCTGCCCCATCTCTCTTTTTCAGCACTCATATCTACTCAGTCTCACCAAGCCTGCCAAAATGTGTGGCTCACATATGCAGCATCCCATGGCTTCTGCTCTCCTCAGCCAAAGCAGAAACCCTGCATTGTTATATGCATATTCCATTTCAAAGTACAAATCAGATTATTGACCAGCAAAGCAATGATTAAAATCCAATGGCTGACAAACAGTCCCTTAAAAGTACTACCTCTATTCTCTCTCCACCAGTTCTCCAGAGAGTCTTTCTATTTTTCGGGGGAACACTGCATCCTTTCAGGACCACTGAAGCCTTTTTTATATCTTCCATGAAGAAAGGAAGATAATTATCCCTTATCTGTTTCAAAAAGAAAAAAAAAGAAAGGGGAATGGATGATAAATTCCCAATATATTACAAACAACCTTATTTTCTCTTTCTCTGCCTATATCTATATTGCTGCAAGAATTCAGCTAGGAATTCCTCACTGTAAAACTCTATTTTATTTTTTTTTTAGAACAGGGCAATACAATACTAAACACCTTGCCACTCAATAAATGCTAGCATTGTCCAGGATGAATTGCATTTGCTTTACTTCTAGTTTGACTGACCAGGTGGTTTTATTAGCCTGGCATGGATGAGTCTTTGACAATCTGGGAGCAGGAGGTTCTCAAATCAGAAAGCCCAGAGCAACTGACACACAACCCTGCAAATGCTGATTGATCAGTTGTCCCAACTTACTTTTGTTGCTTATTCCTCAGAGAGTTTGGATCCCCTATGCACCCGCAGTACCATTTCCCATCCCCTTTATTTATCTATTCTCCCACTTAACATCCAAGAGTCTTAAACCTGCCCTACTAAGACAGGAATCTTTCCATAAAATATCCTAACAGGGTATCTGAGTTTTTCCTGGTAAAAGAACTTCAGTTTGATTAAAATGAAGAAAAAGAAAAATGCTTTCTACTTTAAAAAAAGAAATCAACAGAACCTTCTCTGTATCATAGTATGCATATTTGAAATATCTTTCTAGTCATTCATTCTCTTTGATTCTCTCCAGAAAACATTCTGTGTTAAAAAAAAGAAAGTTTCTGAAAGAATATCAATATTTTGACATTCAGAAAGCAAAGGAAAAATTACACGATAAAGCACAGAACTGTAAGGAAGAGAAACTTGCATGATAATAACTAAAAGAATCAAAGTGTATTTACAATTATTTAATAGTCATCAACGTGCCATTTCTGAATGGGAAATTGAGTACTACAATAATTCCCTCTGTATTTTTATTTTCGTAGATGCCAGCATTCATTTTTCTACTTGAAAACAATAGCAGCTACAGTATTTTACAGCTTTCCTATTTTATAGAAAAGAAATAAAAAAGAAAAATGATTTCAATAGCAGTGGTCTGTATAAATATATGTGAATATCTGAAACAAGACAATTTAGGTAAATAATAGTATTTTAAACTGAGTTAAATTAAGCAAATTATTTTAAATGAAGACAACTAGCAAACTATCCATCCAGATATCAAATATATCTTAGCAAAAATGTAGTTATTGTATTGTCCTGACAGATTCTATATTACTTTCTAAGTATGTAAGCCCATAAAAATAAATATATAAAAGTAAAGTAAAATATCCTGGTTAATATAAAGGTACACATGGATAACTATGACATCGCTTCCAACATCATGTGTTTTGTAGAAGTCATATTTCATGCCCATGTACTCTACTGTGTATACTATGGACTTATTTTTGCTCATTATAATATAACATACTTCTCAAAGCTCTGAGCATATTCTCTGAGTGAAGAAAATACATCCTATGCAGTGGGGGGATTCAGCCAGTTTGCACCACTTCGGGAGAACCGGTTGTTAACTTTCTGAGCAGTTTGGTGAACTAGTTATTGGAAGAAATCATTAGGGCAGAGAACCGGTTGTTAAATTATTTGAATCCCACCACTGATCCTATGAATCTTCTACAGACAAAAGGGCTCACAGAACTGAATTCAACTTAGAACATTACTTGGAAAATAAGAGAACTAAAGTTTGTAGAATTTACAATCTCTTTCAAATTATAAACCAGATACTGAAGTGTTGGGTCTTTGGGGCTCTCTGGGGCTTTTCTTGTAGATATTTCATTACACAAACTAAGTAAACTGCTAGACTGATGATGTTGCCTAGTCTGGATAATGAATGTCTGCAAGAAAACAATCAAAATGCTCAAAGAGCACCAAGGACCCATCATTTCAATCCTGAGCAACGGATATTCTCCTTTATTGGTACTACATATGGGCACCAAACACTTGAGAAAGCAAGTAAATGAATAAAAAATGTCCACTTCCACCAGTAGCACTGATGATTTCACCTAGTTTGAGTAGTGAAATGTCTGCAAGAAAACAATCAAGCTCAGAGAGCATATTTCAACCCTGAGCTACAAACACTCTCCTTTATTAGAGTCTGAAAAGCAGGAATTGTTATTGCTGAAGTGGACTGATAGCAAATTTGTTTTGCTAACAACAGAATCTTTATTTTCCATTCAGTGACATGATTAGGCGCTTATTATGCATTATCAGGCACAAGCATATAGGCAGTATAAAACTTACGGGAGGAAAAATTTTGCTTTGCTGTGTTCTAGGACTCTTGGTTAAGTGCTTTGAAATGATGATATATGGGCTAGGTGTTGTATAGTAAAAAAAAAAAAGATATTTAAATGATAAAGCCCCCCTTAGTGAGCATTGATAAATGATAAATGTTCCAGACTACAAAGCTGTGCCATCCATCATATTCGCATGTTATCACAGTCAATGATGGAGCAACCTCAGTTGTGACAGATGGACTATGAGATTATTATCCCTCTGATTTTCAGTCACCAAATAACTCAACTCCTCAAACATTTTTTTTTAACTTTGCATTCCATTAATAACTTTGTCTATACTTCTGTGCTGGGAATGATCAATGTTATCCTTTGAGTTAGAGCAGAAGAAGACTAGAAACTAAGGAAGCAACTAACAAAAAGCAAAAGAAAGTGTTTGCTCATCCACTGGAGCTGGGGAGGGAAACTGCTAATAACTTCAGAACAAATATAAAATTGTGATCTTGGGGAAGAAAAGTAATGATAACAGTAAGCACACAATAATGGCTTTTCTCTGTATTTAGGTAAAAGTTGAATTTTTGATGTGCACGGTATATTGTCATAAAATTTTATATACTACTATTTTACATGCTATACTATGTTTTATACAGTTATTGGTTATTCTATAATAATGCGAGTGCCAGCAGTAAAATTGCTTCTAAATTTAAGTGTTATTTATTCATTGCCACATAACAATGCTTTTTGACATAAAAAGTATTCTGTTTATAAATGTAACTTTACAACTGCTGCATCCAGGCTCCGTGGTAAATGAATGACATTTTTATTATTTTATAGTCTCATTAAAGTTTTACTGATTATGCTATCAAAAAGGAGTCATAAAGATCATAAAACATCTATCTCCCCGATAGATCAGGGGAGCAGGAATTCATGCCATATAGTTGTACTAAATGGCCAACCATAAATGACATTTATGCCATCTTTAAGTATGTGAGAACACTTGGACAAGTTCAACAAAACTGTTTCAGTAATTGTGTACTTAAATAACAGTTTACTTGCCAGCAAGCAAAGACTGTGTGTATGCGTGTTTCAAACCCTGTGAAAGATGACTGATTGCATCCATCTCTTGAAAAACAATATAAGAAATGTAATAATACACCAGGCAACCCTCCCTTTTAGATTACCATGACTAATCACACTATAACCATTGCCAAATTATTTCAACATGTTTTTTTTTCCTTTCCACATCTGACATATATGCAAAGGCTAAAGTGGAAAATGGCATACATGCGAATCATTGTGTGAAAGACCTTTCTTCTTCCCCCTAATCTTTACAAACAAATACATTTTTGCTGAAAAAGGCATAGTTGAACAATGATGTAATCCCCTTTATTTCAAGACTGTAGCCTAGTAGTTACCAACATTTATTTAAACAACCAGTTTTGAGACTCCTTAATAATGCGGGTCATATACAGAAGCCACAAAGTAAATGCCTTTGGGAATGTTATGCACTCTGTGGACAATATTCTAGTTGCACAATGTGCCAAAAATTCCAGCATGTTGTCTTTATACACATGGGCACACATACACACGCAACAGATTAAAGCTAAATTATTCGACATTATGCATTTAAAAACACATTTGAAGTTTTGTTTCTTGCTTGTACTTCTATTCAAGCCCAGAGAGAACAAACAAACATAAAAAGCTCAGGTTCAAAAAAATACTGAGGGAGGAATTTCTAGAAAAGGCAGTACTTAACAGCCTTTATACAATTTAATTATATTGGTTGCTTTACTCTCCCTGTATCTCACTCTTTACTACCTAAAATATGAACATAAATTCTTCTGTTTTTAAAATCTTAAATAGTTGTATATAATTACAGTAATACTTAATATATCTAATAATAATACTTTAAGCCACAGTTTACCTCAGAGCTTGATATTCATTGCCATGTATTATAAAGGGGACTTGAATTGGCCAAATAAGGTCAATACATGTTCTATTAGAAGAAACCAGGATATAAACAGAATGAATAAATTAATCAAAATTATATATAGCCTATGATCATCTTCCTTACCGTTATAAAATGGAATAAATTCCACCATAGCCAACACAAACTGAAATTCTGAAAGGTCAAATTTTGTCATTTAAAAATAACTTTGCAGTCAACGTCCAAATTTTGTGTTTTTTATTATTATGTTTAACCACCAGTGAAACTGCAAGAAATATGGCCAGCTTTATTTTTCACTGTGGTATTTTTCATTTGTTCATTTGTTTTAGAGTGAGTAAGGGACAACATTGGTGTGTTTAATCCATTTCCAGAGATTCATACACTTAATTTTTATCTTGTGGGTGACAAAATAAGTTTAGCTACAAAAAGTGGTCGGTTTGCATCTATAGCCCCGTCGTGCTATAGAACTCACAATTTCCTGTCTGGTATCTTTACCACTACACCAACCAACTCTGACAGTTAGAAGAATTAATAAGTGGAACAATTTGCCTGCAGAAGTTGTGAATGCTCCAACACTGGAAATTTTTAAGAAGATGTTGGATAACCATTTGTCTGAAGTGGTGTAGGGTTTCCTGCCTGGGCAGGGGGCTGGACTAGAAGACCTCCAAGGTCCCTTCCAACTGTTCTGTTCTGTTCTGTTCTGTTCTATTCTATTCTATTCTATTCTATTCTATTCTATTCTATTCTATTCTACTCTACTCTACTCTACTCTACTCTTATTCTATTCTATTCTACTCTTATTCTTATTCTATTCTATTCTT